TAATGGAGGCTGAAGATTTTCATACATTCTTCCTGCCAGTGACAGTATTTTTTTTTAGTATTTTTGGATTTTGTAGAACAAAAAAATGTAAAATATCTCCTGTTAATTAAGCACCAAAGAACATTCAACACAGGAAGAGACTGCAAGAGTGCTCACATGGTTCATCATGGTGGAGAGCTTGGCCCCATCCTGGATATTCTTTTCCAGTATGTTCAGTAACTTCACCAGTTTGTCCGATGGGATCTACAACAGAAAACATCATTTAGACCTACATCTGAAGCAACATCACACATCTGCAACAGTCAAACTAAAGTATGAGATTAATATACAACACAATACCCTGCTGGAGATGCCCATGGCCTTAATCTTGGCAGACTCGCTGCCAAGCTCATTCAATTGATGTTTACCAAGCAGCAATTCCTGAGGTATCTCATCATCATCTGCTGCTGGAAAACAAAACGGTACACAGAATCACAATAGAATATGGTGAGGTTGATGTACTGGTATAAAGTGGACCACAGTGGCAGTGTGAGAGCCAATGGGAAGTGATATTTACCCATGGCTGTGAAATCCACATCCTCCAGATTCTCCAGTATGTTGTCAATGCTTGCTAAGAACCTCTTGAATGTGGACGAGTCCATCAGCTCTTCTTGGGTCAGCTTGGGTTCATATGATTTCCGTTTCTTTTGTTTCTCCTTCATCTTCAGTTTTCTAGCAACTGAGTAAAAGAATTTTTATCTTAATTCTTTTGCCATTTGTTTTTTTAATTGTGTGCCAGATAGCAAAACACTGTCTCATTTATTTTAAGAAACTAACATTGTCACATAATCTGATGCTAATGAATAAAATTGACACATTTCCTTGAATGTTTTCTAGTCTGATATTAATTTTGTCTGTATATGAGCATAATAACTCCATATCTAATGTGGCATTAGGTTCAACTGTAAAGACCAAACAAAAACAAAGAAAGCAGTTGTCACAAACATTTCAAAATAAAGATGAACATAATTTAACATGCTGTGGCACATGACTTGACTACAGACTTTCACTCATGCTGGGTGGTGGTGAGTCTTCCTCAGAGGAGTCTCGGTAGCGACTCCCTGAGCCTCGCCGGCTGTCCCGGTGCCCACTTTTCCGATGCTCCCCTGAACCCCGGCGCTCCCTTTCTTCAAACTCCCAGGCCCTGTCTTTGTCTCGGCGATGCCGCTTTCTTGCAGCTGTCAAGATAAAACAAAGAAATCAGGCCCTTAACTCACACACACAAAAAAAACCCACAAACCCTTTACAACATTAAATTGGAATCCGTCTTTAGGTTCATTACATTTTAAGAATCTTTCTAAAATCGAATGACCAAACCTTGTGAAAAGATTAGCAGTGAGAACTGATGTGAATCAAATCACTGGACTTACACTCTCCATTTGCGTCATAGTCCTCATCTGAGCTGACCTCAGCGTATTTGGGTCTCTCATTTACAGTGCTCCGTTTTCTCTTGTTCACCTTTACTCGTTCACACAGGGGCATGGTTGACTCAATCTCTGCCAGCAGCTCTGGGGGAAGTTCCTTCAGGACTCCTGGGTCCATGCCACCTGAAAGTTTGACAGTAACATTTTCCAAGTCATTAACAAAAAGGTAATGCCCTTTTTAAGTGAACAACAACAACAACAACAAAAAAAACATATATGTGGATTGGAAAAAAAACGCTATGAAATTACAAAAGCAAAGCAAAACTATGTGCTGTTCCGCGGCTTCATGCTCTTACTTTTGCTAGACCTTCCTGAGGAGATTCTGTTCTTTCCAGACTTGTTGTGCCGGATAATCCTCTGGATCTGGTCAACAGAGAGTTTTTTCAGAACGACTACAGGCTTGGGCCTCTTCTCAAAGTCCTGCACCAAACCCAGTCTCTCCAGTTTAACCTTTGGCTGGCCCCACATTTGACTTTCAGTTGACACACTGCTTTCCTTATCACATTTGATCTGGAAAAAGAAAAAAAAACTAAAGGATTCAGGAAAGCCCTTTAAGCTTGTCAAATTTCAAGATCAAAGTTAAATAAAATTCAGTTTTTCATATGAGCTATACTTACAAAAAATAATAACAGTTAAATGGTTCAAACTAACAGACATGAGATTAGTGATTTTGATGTTAATTTCCAGTATATCTCTCATAACAAAGACTTAAAGGAATACTCCACTGCTTTTCAACATTATCACCATGTCTTAGTGCTGGGCAGTATAACCATTCATCTGGTATACTGGCTGTAATTTCATGGAAGGTATGAATTTTTCATATCCCTCCATACCATAGCAGAGCTAAACCAACAACTGTAAAACTTCAATAATCAGCAGATTACACAGTTTGCTGCTAGAAGCACTTCAGATCATTAGCCTGAATGTACTGAGAAAGGACCCCTATTAAGTGTGCCTACCCATCTCACTGAGGGTTATAACTTTATAACACAGCAATTAATTACCCTGGACTTACTCTCTTTAACAGGGCACATATCAATTTGTGAAACAAACAATTTCAAACATTAACAACCGTACCTCTCCTAAATTACACAGCTGAACAGCATGCTGGGCACGCACACACACATACACACACCTCAGCCCAGTCATGAAAAAAAAGACTGCCACTAGGGGTGACAAGCCAAAACTGGAGATGGCAAATGTGAATGTTTCCCCTCATCAACAAAAACAAACAATTCTGCCAATATAATAAAATGCCAAACTTTGAGTCTGAGCAAATAACAAATGTACAACACATACAGTGCACTTAGAAATGATGGCTAAACGAACACTCTCTTATGGATACAATTCAGACTATGATTTGTTTTAATCAACTACATCACAGGGAATTCATAAATCCTTAGCCAATACCAGGCATTGTTTACATTGCGATGTCCTACATACTACCAATAACTAATATACATTCGTTAATTTGCAACTTAACTGAATTATTACTGGGGTTCTATTTCAGTCTTCCTGTCCTAAGCCACTTTCCTCATAACCCATCAGCTGGAGCTCCATCTCCCAATAGCTAGCTTCATCCTGGCAGGATGAGTGGTGTTTCTATTGGAACTTCAACTAAAATACACTAGCTTTACACCAAACTTTTCAGATAAACAGCCACATTTTCACTCAAACATGCTATTCATTGTAGGCATTCCGTGTGGGTGACGACCCGCCAACAGCTGGAAATGTTATATCATTTGCTTAGGTGACCAAATATAACTGCTATGATATCTACAGTATATTGGTTGCTTGTTTCAAATGACCCTTTCTAGCAGTGCAATAAAGGTTGTTGGAACACAATGCATGTAAGCAAATACATAAAGGCTAACATAATAACATCTTGGCTCAGCACAGTCTACTGTGGTGGGGTCACGTGAATGTGTATTATAGCCTGTAGCTGGGGATTGCATCTCTGATCATTTGTTGACAACATAGCTTAAGATAGGGTTAAAGAAACTGATGGTCTTTTTTTAGAGAAAGGTCAGTCTAGGTTTAGTACACATTCATTCATATGAAACATCTGAGAAACAGCAGTGGAGAATTTCTTTAAGGTACAGTGATCCCTCACGGTGGGTTTTTTTTTTCATCGTATTAACTGTAACACTTGCCGTCTTCCGTATGTTCTTTTCGTCCTTCTTTATGTAGCGAACGCTGGATTCATTGATGCCGTAATGGCGGCCGACACTCGCATAACTTCGTCCTTTTAACATGTCCAAAAGTTCAACCTTTTCAGCAATGGTTAGCATCTTCCTACGACGCTTGGGCTCGCTGCCAAAATCCTGGGAAGACGTAGAACGTTTAGGTAACATCTTATTAACAAAGGCACAAAAATGCACTAAAACACAGAGTACAAAACTTGGCGTATGTCGCGTACGGATGCGTAGAAGCAAAGTGAGCCCACAGGAGCGGGAAAACCCGAGGAAAACCCGCGGTATTGTGAGGGGCCCGCGATAATATTTTACATACAATATATTTGAAAACCCGCGATATATCGAGTCCGCGATAGCGGAACCGCGATATGGCGAGCAGATATTCTTTATAACTGCCTCTCCCTTTTTTTGTCCTTCTTTAGGTAGCGAACGCTGGATTCATTGATGCCGTAATGGCGGCCGACACTCGCATAACTTCGTCCTTCTTTTAACATGTCCAAAAGTTCAACCTTTTCAGCAATGGTTAGCATCTTCCTACGACGCTTGGGCTCGCTGCCAAAATCCTGGGAAGACGTAGAACGTTTAGGTGACATCTTATGGCTTTAATAAAGGCACAAAAATGCACTAAAACACAGAGTACAAAACTTGGCGTATGTCGCGTACGGATGCGTAGAAGCAAAGTTTAGGACGTACCTCCTCGGAAAACCCGCGGTATTGTGAGGGGCCTGCAATAATATTTTACATATAATATATTTGAAAACCCGCGATATATTGAGTCCGCGATAGCCGAACCGCGATATGGCGAGGGATCACTGTACTTTCTTTTTGCTTACATGCATAACTAAGAATGTAATAAATAAAACAAGAAAAATGTTCAGAAAACTACTTGTACTTTTAAACTGATGTTATGTGTGGGTTAATGTTAACAGAATATTAAAGGTAATAATGCTTTTAGACCAATCCCATGACTACACATAATGCTGACTAATGGAAAAACAAAAATGAAAGCAAAAGTGAGTGAGACTGCAGGCACTATCAGTTGAATGATTGGTAGGTAGGTAGTTATTTGGTTTGGGTCAGCCCAGATCACCTTAGGGATCTGGAAGTTCTTCAGTGCGCCAGTATGCCCTCCCAGGAGCTGAGCAGGGAAAGAATCTGGAAGTCTCAACCCAGAAGTAGATGAGGCTGGTTTGGAACCATCTTGCCTACTGCTGCTTCGACCAAACTCTCCAGTGGAAGAACCCCGGAAGCCAGACTTATCTCGGTCACTTCGGCAGCGAGAGTCAGGAGAGCGTCGGTCTCGCCCACCAGTCTCACTTCGATGCCTCCTGTCTCTGTCAGTTTCTCGATCCCTGTCTCGTCCATGCTCCCCTCGGTTTGATGACTTTGGCATCTCCCCCCGTCGGTCAGAGGATTTATCATCATGTCGGTGCTTTGATGACTCCCGACCTTCTCTCCTACTGTCATGTTTATCGATCCTGTTTTTGATGACTTCTGGTCGGCCATCTGGTTTCAACCGTAAAGCCGTGTCAGAACCCTCTACTGCAGCTACCCCACTCGCTGGTTCTTCAGGCCAGCGCTGGGCCTCAAGGGCTGGAATAGGGGCAGCCAGACAGTGGTCGAGCTGGCCGTCAACTCGGCCTGCCTGCTGAAGGTCGATGCTCACCATGAGGGGAGGGCGGCTGGCACCGTTCCCAGCTGCGGTGGCCTCTTGTGGTGTCAGTTTGCCAGCATTGCCCCCTGCTGTTGATCCACTGCCTGGGGCACCTGTGGGGCCACCTGGTCCCCCTGCGCCTGGCTCCAGGGGAAAAGAGTCCTGTTTTCTTTTCTTCAGTGGCTTGTCTGTAAAAAGAAAGGCATAAATAAAACTAGATATTCAAAAAAAGTTCTTTAATCATATTTAGAGATTTCCTACACACCTTTATCTTGCACCTCCTTGGAGCACTTCTCACTAGCCGCTTCTCGTTCTATCCTTTCGATTTCAGCAAGGGCATCCAGCTCTGCTTCATCATAAGGGGAAGTGGGAGGCTGGAGACCAATAGCACCACCTGCTTGCTGGGAGATCTGCTGCTGTTGCAACCTGGCTCCGAGATTTTGCTGGAGAACAGGCACCTGCTGAAAGCCTAGCTCTGCCTCCATATTGTCTGAGTTCTGGTCCATGCCTGGCACAACCTCACCTAAGATTTTAACAAAACACTTTTAAATGGTTGTATTTAACAGGGCTGATGGTTCCAAATGCACTATGGGTTCTGACTGAAATTGTTTATTTTTATTTATTACATGTTAGCATAGCATACCTCTTCTTAGTGCTGCTAATTTATTAAATCACTGAGAAAGTGATTACATTTGAAATTAGAGGTGTAGAAGACAGCATGGCAAAAACATGGGGATCTGCTGTGATGAAAATGGAATAAAAGTTTCACTTACCAGGGGGATCAGACTCATTTGACTTGACTCTGGAAAGCTTGAGGGTCAGTTTTGTAGAGTCCTTATTTGGAGAGCTAACAATATCGTACATATCTTTCTCTTCTTTTACCGCTGGGGGTTTCTTCCTTTGCTGGAGATGTTGTTTCTGGTCTGGTCCTCCCTCCCTTGGTGAGGGTGCATAGGGAGGTGGCGACTGTAGAATCAGTGGAGGACGAGAACCCGCTGTGAGGAAGCAACACCAATTAAAAAATACAGTTATCCTTCAAATGAATGTGAAAAGAAAGCGCAACTATATGGACAAGGCACTGTGACAACAACGGACAGTGCTGTGTCTAGAGGTGCTAAACTCTAATAATATGTAATGCTATATAGGAAGACAATCACTAAGACTGAAATAAAAGTCACTGCGACCTTTTGAGAGATAATTGCTTCAAACTATTCAAGTTGCTATAAAATTAAAATGATTACTATTTCAGTGCCAGAAGCAGCTCTTCCCTAAATAAAAAGGTGGGATATATGCACTGTAGTTTCTTTTCTTCCTTACATTTGGGCGTTCCTTCACTTCCTGCTGGGGAGCACCCGGACTGCGGAGACCTCAGAGGGAAAGAAGGATTCCTCATGCTAGAGTCCCCCTCCTGCACAACACACAAACAATACAGATGAAAACTATCATTTATGAGTTTTAACGCTGGACTTTCAACTTAACACAGATAGGTCCAGATAGAAGGTCCAATTTGTGCACAATCAAGCTTCTCCTATGAGGCACTGACCTGGTGCATTATATTTACAAAACTAATAGGAAATTTGCCATGGATGCTTTCCTATAATTCAGAACCAGAATGTTGATTTATTTATACCAAACACTGCAGCAGAACCTCATTGCTATGTGCATGCTATATATAGTGTAAGTTACCACCCTCTTCGCCGTCGTATTAACTGTAACACTTGCCGTCTTCCGTATGTTCTTTTCGTCCTTCTTTATGTAGCGAACGCTGGATTCATTGATGCCGTAATGGCGGCCGACACTCGCATAACTTCGTCCTTTTAACATGTCCAAAAGTTCAACCTTTTCAGCAATGGTTAGCATCTTCCTACGACGCTTGGGCTCGCTGCCAAAATCCTGGGAAGACGTAGAACGTTTAGGTGACATCTTATGGCTTTAATAAAGGCACAAAAATGCACTAAAACACAGAGTACAAAACTTGGCGTATGTCGCGTACGGATGCGTAGAAGCAAAGTGGGCCCGACAGGAGCCAGAAAATCCGCGGAAAACCCGCGGTATTGTGAGGGGCCCGCGATAATATTTTACATATAATATATTTGAAAACCCGCGATATATCGAGTCCGCGATAGCCGAACCGCAATATGGCGAGGGATCACTGTATATATTGATACCCATATTTTCTGTTAAATATCTTTCACCTTTCCCCAGGGCATCCTCCCCAGTAAGAAAAAACACTGACATTTCACTTCAAAAACAGTGCTATTAAAAAAAAAAAAATCTATCACTAACTGAAATTACTAATAAATACTACAAGATAGATCCCTAAACCCATTTGAAAGAATAAATCAAATCAAATCATTTAAGATAAAGTTATAAAAAAACCAATAAGCACTAAAACACACAACTATAACCACCAAGAAACCCTAAGCATATTTATTATCTGAGAAATGACAGCGGGGACAGTGACTTAGATCATATGCATGCCCTCTATATGCTACTTGGCTTTCTAGCTCACACTACAAATATCCCAACATAAATAAATAAATTTCACCTATTAAAAATAGCATTATCACTGTGACTGTTTGCCTTGGTTAGGAAGTAAAATTATAATGTATTCATTTTAGACTTTCAGTCATACCTCACTGCCCAGCCGGTGTACAATGTTCAGGTAGTCCTCAGTGCCATGTCTCTCTGAGTGATGGTTGGCAGCGTTTGCCATTTGCCCGGATACTTTGCCCTCATGGATATTTCGTATACCACCTGGAACCATGGGACTGGCCACAGACACTGTCAAATAAAAAAAAAGAGGTCATTTAAAAAGATCTGTTAGTGAGCCATTTATAACACAGCTGATGATGAAAGAAAAAAAATGTTCTCACTACACGCACTCTAAATGCAAAGCACCAATAATTTAACCAATTACATTTAATATTAGGAGCTACAATTGTCACCGTTCTAACTTGTGCCTTCTATTAATGTTTGGAGGACAAATTTTCTAGCCAAACCCTGCCCATGGAATAAACCCATACAACAGGACTCTTTAACAGTTCTATTAATAAAACTGTTAAAGGGACAGTAAACAGATCAGCAAATTTTTAATACTGAAATGACAGAACTAATTTCGGCCTCTTTCTTTAATTCCTAAAGCTCATGATCACAGGTGATGGATAAAACACATTCTGGCAAATCTAACACTTTGCTAATCTAACACTTTGCCTTCCAGCTCAGCTGCAGCACCTTTAAGTCTTAGTGGTGGCCTAAGATTTAAGAGGTGCTGACTCATATCCAAGTCATTCCAGTGCATGCTGCAAAGAGCAGAAAAGCAGTTCTGTGGTCTGTCACTCTGTAAGTGGACCCATGGGGTAACAGCTCTATATAATTTTTTTTGGGCTGTACCTAACTGAGCGACATGGGTCAAAGTCCAGTTACTAAGCACTCGCTGGTGAGTTCTCCTCCCAGCTCTGGTTCCATAAAGGGGCTCCAGTTTTCCTAAGCCAGATAAGGGTGACAGCGCTGAACAATCCACCTGAAAACCCACCTGGATTTCGTGACTCACTCTTTATCTAGACAATCCTCTAGGACCATTTTCCTCAGGAGACCCTACCAGGGGCCCACCCCACACAAGCTGGCTATGTATTCCAGGCTTGCCACAAACTACAAACCTCTCCACCAGATTAAGGTGGCGATTCTCTAACTGTTCTAAAAGCACTTATCATTACAGTGTATGTTTATCTTACCAAAGATGATGTTATGTCAGAAAGCAAAATGGTATTTCACAAGCTCAAAATAAGAAGTCGTGAAATCCTCTCAAATGATAGAGCCCCTCAGATGGGGTCTTCTAATAAAAGGGGGATCTGTGCCTGTACATGTGTACCTTTTAAGTGAAACTGAAAGACACCCACATACCACAATATTTCCAAGAATACCTCATTCTAACTGTCAAATGATATGTTGTTAGCATGTCAACCTCAACCACATACAAACCTCACATGCAAATCTGAAAATGTGCGAACAAACATAGAAAAGGAAGCACCCATCCATACTTCAAGCTCTGTTGCCTCATGCATGCACACAAACACACCCACATAGACACCTTGTTGTATCTGTTGGTGTTGGTTGTAGCTCGGTGGTTGTTGGTGGGGATACTGCTGTATGTAAGCAGTTGCAGGACTTTGAGGAGTGTAGGGGCTGGGTACTGGACTGTTTTGTTGGCCCATATACCGGCTACTGGACCCAGTCTGCGGTGCCACAAACCGGCTGGACAAAGTGAAAGGAGAACATGGTGGGAGACGATAAGCAAGCAAATAGAAGGAAATTGCATTAACAGTGAAACATTATTTCACTTAAAGACAATATCTTTCTCTTATCTTTTGCTTGTTATATGACACTACAAATAGCAAATCATCCATAAAGCTAGATAATAATAATACCACATAGTCTTTCCTAAATAAATAAAAAAAATCAAAAATTATGAATATAGTACTCTTCTAAACACAGTTACAAAGTGGTACACAGGATACAACTATAAGGCAAAAGTAAGAGAACTGTAATCTAATGCTAGTTTAGCTAGCTTGCTAACAACTTAGAAAAGTTGGGTCTCCGTGATCAACAGAGCAGTGTTAAAATAGACATGGAGAGGGGGAGGTGATCACAAATGGTCTGTTGTCACTGTGTATATGTCTGTATGTGTGTGAGTGCGGGCAGGAGCAACTGGGCAAATCAATGCACAGTGCACAGCTCTATGATGAAATAAGTTTTTACTCATTTTAAATAGTAAAAAAACAGAAAATCAATATGTGGCGGTCCATGTTGATATTGTGGTGGGCAGCCACAAATAAATCAATGTCGTATGTCAATGACATATTGTGATGCAACTGCAAACTTGCATCTTGACCCACCTTGATGGATTGGGAGAAATGGCAGCTGGCTGGAAGTTTGCAGACTGGGCAGGGCTATGCATGGAATTCTGGGTCATCTTGAATGGTGATACCATTGGCTGCTGCATAACATCTAGTTTGGAATAGAAAAACAGTCATTTGTTTAAAAATATCACCACAAAGTTTGTCTATATGACTCATGTTAGAATGTGCAACAGGCAAGTGTCTCCATACTTTTCTCCCTGAAGATGCCAGGGTTCCTGGCCAGCATGGTCTGCAGCAACAGTGGTGCGTCTCCCTCTGGCTCATCGCTACCCAGGTTGTCCTTCAGCTCTCTGAAAACATACAGAAAAGGTTCAGTCACAAGATAACCTGAATGCAAACATGTATTTTAAACATAGAACCGATTTTATTGTTATGTAGTTATATAATTCAGGGTTGGAAAATTTAACAACATGCAGTATGAGAGGATCAACCTTGGTTAATGCATAGAGATTCTGCTAAAGTACATCTAGGAAATATGCCCACAGGAAAGCATCAACATCTATTCTAGCATCAGTGTTAGGTTTTTCATGTCTCTCTTTCTTTAAAAAAATCCTCTTTTTATATTTTAATTTGTAAAAAACTAAGCAACATCACTTCATCTCCATATGTTAATAGTGGCATCTCTTCTCTTGTTACGTGTTTTTACTGATCATGTTTAAAGCCAAGTTATAATGGACCCCAAGTTCTAATATTGAATGCCAAACAACTTTCAGGCATATGTTGCCTCAGATCTTCGGGTAGGGCTTTGTTATCTGTTATAAGCCACAATTCTGCCATGTAGACACTTCTAGTTATATACTCACATGTGCTCTGTGGAGACCTGGTTGAGGCCATGAGCTAGCTGGGAAGCCAGATTCTCGTCCCGACATCCCAGTAGGCAGGTAACTTCCTCCGCAATCCTCCCATTGTATAGGAGGCTCTTAGTGGTGGTTGCTGGGAGAGGGGAAGGGAGGGGTAGCTGGTTCAACACTAAGACAAGAAGAGAGAAACGTGAGAGAAAACAGAGGTGGGGAGGTAAAGAATTAAAGATGAGAAAAAGACAGGGTGAGAAACAGTAAGGCAACAGTTTGCAATCACAATTGCATCTTTACATCTGTTTAGACAGAATATTTCAGCTTGCCATTTTACACTGGAAGAGGACACAGAACAAAAGGTGAGGCAACATGTTTGAAGGACAACAGTGTGTCACTCACAGTCTGTGAGGCTAGCGATCCCAGCAAGAGTGGTAATGGGAACATGAGGCATATCCCCATTCATGCTGAAGGTGAGGGTGGGGGAGTGTGTTGATACACAGGTAGATCAGGGAGTCGATGGACGACACCCGTCCTCACATCTCCTGACACCTAGGAGAGAGGGAGGGTTGTAAGGGAGGGAGAGAGACAAAAAAAACAGAATGAGTGATGGAAAGGGATATGGAAAGAGGACAAAAGATGGAGAAATTTAGATTTATAAAGGAGTAAAAGGCAGAGAAAATAGGGGATAAGAGAAAAGGAGAGTAAAATGGTCAAATAATCATTATTATTCAGTGACATCAAATGCAGTAAATGACAAGATGTCTCATTAGATCTGGTCAATTGAGGTAATGTTCTTTACTTCATTCATTCATTCATTTTCTTGGGCCAATCCCGGCCGGCAATCGGGTGAAGGCGGGGTACACCCTGGACAGGTCGCCAATCCATCGCAGGGCTAACACATAGACAAACAACCACACACATGTACACGCACTCCTATGGGCAATTTAGAGACACCAATCAACCTAAGCTGCATGTCTTTGGACTGTGGGAGGAAGCCAGAGTACCCGGAGAGAACCCACGCAAGCACGGGGAGAACATTCAAACTCCACACAGAAGGGTCCGGCGTGGGGCCCAAACCCAGAACCTTCTCGCTGTGAGGCAACGGTGCTAACCACTGTGCCACCGTGCTGCCCCATGTTCTCTACTTCACAATTAAAAATGATCTCATTGTTTTCATCTGTATATAGTATATTATCATTATTATAATATTATCTAGCACGCTTTATGATAAATTTGTATAATAACTTAGCATTTGATATAACTATGATGAGTGATCAATGGGTCAACCTGAATATGCAGCCATACTGACTTTCACTAAT